AATTACAGGGAGCACCTATGGGGAAAGAGACATCAAACATAACATCCTTCCCATCAACAGTCCCCGAGGACTGGTTCTTATCTTAGTATGCACAGGCTTTAGCGAATGCGGTGGGGACTGGTCGCTGGGGCTTTGGGATCAAGGACTAAAAAGAACTCATTCTTAGCAGCGATGGGATGGAGAGTGCCAGGGATTTTCTCACCTCACAAAACAAGCTAATTCTCCGAACTAAGAAATAACTAGCAGGACTGAAAACCTGGCAAGCAGCACAAGGGCCTTGGACAGGAGCCTTCCCGTAGTCCAGTGAGCAAAGATGTTTATAAAGGATGAATTCAAATGGTCATTTGTTCAAAACAACTTTCCTATTCAATGATGGAAGTGGAGGACACAATCACTCGGGGTGGGAGTGGGTGTGGGTAAAGTAACAATGGGTAGGAGATGTATCTTAATATCCTGTCAATAGCTTGAGTGCATTTTTGGTTAACTCATATCTTAAATTAACCCATCTCCATTAATCTGTGTATCATCATGGAGCTGTGACTTCCTGGGTAATGTTCTGGCATCTGTCTCTGGTGGAGCTACATGGCTTCTCACTGACTTCACCTTCTTACTCCCAGCATTCAGTATAGTTTCCCCTGCTTAGTTCTACTCTGCCATATTAATAGGTCAAGGCAGTTTCTTTATTCATTAACCAATAAAAGCAACACATATACAGAAGGATATCCCACATCACATCCCCTTTTCTGTCTAAATAAAAAAGAAGGTTTTAACTTTAATATAATAAAATTACATATACAAACCAGGATATCAAGCAAGAATTATATGATGAGGGAAGTCCTTTTGTATATTTGTTGCTTTTATTAACTAATAAATAAATCTGCTTTGGCTTATGGCAGGGCAGAAAAGAGAGAGAGAGAGAGAGAGAGAGAGAGAGAGAGAGAGAGAGAGAGAGAGAATAAGTGGAGTTGATGAGATACCATGTAGCTGCTGAAGGAGAAAGATGCTTGCCAAAACCCACTGGAACCTTACTGGTAGGCCACAACCTCATGGTGATGCACACATTAATAGAATGGGTTAATTAAAGATGTAAGAGCTAGCTAGAAATATGCATAAGCTAAAAGGCCAAGCAGTGTTTTAATTAATACAGTTTCTGTGTGATTATTTTGGGTCTGGGCAGTTGGGAACAAACAAACAGTCTCTGCCTACATTCATCCATACACCCATCTACATACCCATCCACCCACCTACCCACTCATCCATTTACCCATCCATCCACCTACCTACTCACCCATCTATTCACCCAATCATCCATCAACCTACCCACTTATCCATCCACCCAATCATCCACCCACTCACTCATCTGTGCATCTATATAAACAGGTCCACAGAACATAAAAACAGCTAAGTATCAAGTCTTCTCACAGCCTCGGGGGTTGTTGATATAATTTTGAGGCATCTTGATTTGAGTAGTTTAAGTATGTCTCTGTAACAACAGCTGGATGGATTGTTTAACAAGGTGTTGTTGATTAATTCAGATTAGAGAATTAGATCTAGTCAAAGAAAAGCAATCTAGCATAGTTACACTTGTGGGTATGCTTAGTGGGCTTACCTAGACCTAGTAATGTTATTTTATTTGGGCTGACAAAACAAGCTATGAATTTCCTTAGCCAAGTTTGCTTAAGGAATTAGACCTGGTTAGATAAAGACTAGGCTTCTTGGGTGTTCTGATTGCTGTACAATCAATTGTTTTTGGCATACTGCGATATTGCTTCATTTCAAAGCTGTTACTAGTCATAATAGATGATTTATATTTCTTCAAGCTTTTTTGAATTCCTTGATTATCGACAGTTTGTTTATGGAAATGAATCTGGCCTTCATACATGCAAGCCTGATGCCAATTATGTACATACAGATGGCAGCCCCAGAGGGTCATCTCAGTCTGTACTCTGTCTGTTTGTTAGCCCTAACTGCCCATGATTTGTAGGAGACAGGAGGTGGATTATATTTCTTTGTTCTCATTTGCTTTCTGATACCAAGAGTCACTTTCCAGCAGTGACTAAATTGAAGAGAAATCCCTGTCAGATGGACACTGAGTACTTTTTGACAGCCCCAGTGATACCCTAGACTTACGAGGTCACTGTTAATGCTTCCATTCTTTCGGTTGTATGTACCAAACTTACCAAGTTTATGAGTATTTCTTCTATTTAATAACTGTATTTCATAGCCCTTGCTGTCTCCTGGATATGGAATGCTCCCCAAAGGCCCATATGCATTCTTCTTGGTCTCCTGCTTGGGCTACTAGGAGGTGGTAGAAACCTTGCCAGGGCCTATGAAAGTCTTCAGGTCACTGAAGTCATGCTATTGGAGGGAATTGTGGGATCTGTGTCTTCCACTTTCTTCTCCCTGTGCCCCTGGGAGAAGTGAAGTTTTGCTAAAATAGATGCTTCACATGGGTCCCAGAACAGTGGAGTCAGTGATCACAGACTGAAACTTCAAAACCATGACCAAAGTTAACCCTTTCTCTCTACAGGTTGGCTATCTAAGGTGTGTGTTAGAGAAACACATAGCTGGTTAAGAGTTCTTAGTTTACTAGAATGCCCGCTCTGAGTCCTGTCTGCTCTTGGCCTGAATCCTCCACTCACTTAGAAGCATACTCACAGTCTCAACAGGTTTCTGCGCTGTACCCACATGGGCCTGAAGCTGTCCATGGTCAGAGACTGGTGTATATCATCTGGCTCCCAGCTAGGACCCCTTTCTGTCATGCTGCAGGAGTACCTTCCACTGCTTCAGCCAATAGCCGCTGAAATACAAACCCACTGGGGCGTGGTATATTTCTCTTTAAAAGAAGAGCGGCAAGCTGGGCCAGGCCTCTTGGTTCTGGCGCTTGGTTCCGGCTCCTTCTCCTGGCTCCGGCTTCAGCGACTAGGCTCCCTTCCTGACGGTTTATGGTGTATGTAAGTTTTACCCCCCCCCCCAAAATAAATAACGCCTTAAAACATAACTGGTGTGGGATTGATTCGCCATTATTTGGCGCCCGGATGTGGGCCCTTTTTCCCACCTCGTGGCGCGGGCCTAGCAGCCTGAGCGCACACAGCACCTTGGCGGCCCCACGGCCTTTACAGTAAAGCCTGCTCTGGATCCTAGTTCCGTTCAATAGAAACGGGCTGGGGACTTTCCGGCTTCTGCAAACACCGTGGAACTCGGGCAAGTGGCAACTCTACCCCCACTCAAGCAGTGTATTCCCTGCGGCCCCAGCTGAGCTTGGCTTGTGCTGCTAGCCTGAAAGTAACCTCTGGATTTGAGTGTATATATATTTCAGAATCTTTCCGGGTTGGCGCCATTGCCACGTGGATTCAGGTGCGCCCCTGCCACTTACTGGCAGGCAAGGGTCATTACTCCACATATATACAATTAAAAACTCTGTAAATTCAAGGTGTGATGGCAGACACCTTTAATCCCAGCACTCGGGAGGTAGAGGCAGGAGGATCTTTGTGAGTTCGAGGCCAGCCTGGTCTACAAGAGCTAGTTCCAGGATAGGCTCCAAAGCCATAGAGAAATCTTGTCTTGAAAAACCAAAAAAAAAAAAAAAAGAAAGAAAGAAAGTCATGAGGGAAAGATTCGAGGTCGCGGATGTAGGAAGGAGTGGCACTGTTCATCCTCCCTCTCTCACTGAGCCACGAGTGCTGCCCTGGTTATGGAGGAGAGATGGAAAGATCTCTAGATGGTGCCTGGGTCCCAGTGTGTGACATTAGTTGAACAGCGATCTATTCTCTAAGATGAAAAACAGGCTAAAGTTAGAGCTAGCCTGTAGTTCGCATGAAGAAGTACGTACAAAATCAGTTTTTAAAAGATTTTATTTTTTGAGACAGGGTCTTTATAGTTGTGACTGTTCTAGAACTCACTCTTTAGACCAGGCTATCCTCAAACTCATATGCCACAACGCCTGGTTTAAGATTTATTTTTAATTAAAGCTGGGTGGTAGTGGTGCACACCTTTAATCTCAGCACTTGGGAGGCAGAGGCAGGCGGATCTCTAAGTTCGAGGCTAGCCTGGTCTACAAGAGCTAGTTCCAGGACAAACTCCAAAGCGACAGAGAAACCTTGTCTCGAAAAACAAAACAAAAAACAAAAACAAAGATTTGTTTCTAATTGTATATATGTGGAGATGTGGGAATGTACATGGGCCTTTGGAGGCCACTTGAAGTCATTGGATCCCCTGAAACTCTAGTTACAGGTGGCTGTGAGCTATCAGACGGGGATGCTGAAAATTCAACTCAGGTCCTCTGCAAGAACAGTATGTGTTCTTAACTGCTGAGCCAATTCTCTGGTGCGGGAGAATTATCTGTATTCTGTCAATCATGTTTTAAATAAACGCTGATTGGCCAGGCAGGAGGTGTAGGCGGGGAAACCAGACAGAAAGTGGAAATGATGCAGGAGCAGGAGAATTCTGGGGAGGAGGAAGTTGATTCCTCCCACTCCTCCTCAGATCACGAAGCAGCAGGATGTGAGCTGCCCCACTGAAAAAGGTACTGAGCCACATGGCTAACATAGATCAGAAAAATGGGTTAATCAAGATGTGAGCGTTAGCTAATAAGAAGCCTGGCCTAATGAGCCAATCAGCATTATAACTTATGGAGTCCTGTGAGGGTGATTTTCTCTGGGACTAAATAATTGTGGGGACCTGGTGGGAGGACAGAAAAACCCACAAACAAGCAGACCCGACCTCTTCATGTTACACTGTCACCTTTGCCTTGTCTAGGGACTATTCTCTGGGGGAGATATCTGTTGAAATAAATGACAAAACAAAACAAGCAAACAACAAACCCATCTTGGATGAACTTGCCTTTATGAGAGGGATCCATGTTGATTTAAGTGGCTGTAATGGAAATCAGATGTGAATTATTCTGGGTGTTTTCTATGTGATCACTTCATTTGATCTGGAATATTTGTGGGAAAGCTCTTATGGACTGGTGTAGAGAATGTTGAAATATATAATCATACCTCAATAAAGAATCAAATAACTCCACTTTCCTCCTCTTGAAAATTGACAGCTGAAAATACAGCAAAGATAAGTAAGCAAATAAATAAGTAAGTAAATACATAGACAGTAAATAGAAGAGAGACTAAATGGAAAACTGGGGAAAGGATGTATGATTCAGAAGACAGGGAGAATGGCAGCGAATTGCCTTCCCGTGGGCAATCATTGTAGCTGCCTACAGCGTGCCTGCAAAAGACTGGACCTGCCAAGAACCAGTCACGGGTCAGAGAGGGACTCATGGAAACTTATCCCTCTCTGCTAAATGATGGACTACTAAAATTCAAGGGAGGAGGATGTCTCTAGATGTGTGTCTACCGGTGAGCCCACCGGAATCCACTGGATAGCTCCATACTCAATGGTCACATAGACAGCCTTGGCTAAACTCAGTGGGTTTACTGAGTTTACAGTAAACAGTACAATACAATACAATACAATACAATACAAAGAGTCACAGATAAGGAAAGAGGCCCCTAGCTAGGAGGGGGAGGTGACAATGGTGGGGGTATGAATATACAGCCAACAGGTGGGTGAGAACAGTCAGCATGCATTACAATTTATGTATAAAATGTATACAACTGTCCAAGAAATTTTAATCATTAAAAATAACAAACTACTTGGAAACCCTGAACTTGGAGAACCCACTGAGGATTATGATGTGGGGCAGATTTCTTGAACTTCTCAGACCTCCCTTTCCCAAGTGGTAAAAGGCATGACGCCACTTGGTGCGCATCAGAGCTGTGCTGGGCTGAGAAACACTTCGGCGCTACTTAGTAGCATGGGCACGCTCTGGTTCATCATTCACTAAAGCATGCAGTTAAACTTTTCTTTGGGATTGGCCACAACCTAGATGCAAATGTATTTATTTTTTATTTTAATAGAAATAACTCTGCAGGCAGTTGTCTGCTTTATACTAAGTGTGTGTTAGTCAAGCTAATGCTTTATTTAAAAAAAATGTGTGTGTTTATTGCTTTAGCAATTCAGAATGAGTTTAAATGATTTCAGTTAAGAATAAATGACCAATTTTAAAATCCTGTTCTCTTCTCTATGGTGGGAGATTGGAGAACATTGAGGTGTTCATCTGTGAGAGCAAACTAGAAAAACAAAAACAAAAACTTCACTTCAGCACCCTTTCCAAGCCCAGAGATCAGAACAGAAAAAAGAACTCCCTGCCTGAAACTATGGACTAGGCTGGGTTCTGACGATGCAATTCTCTTTGTGAAAATCCTGCCATTCAAACAAGGGAAGTCCTGATTAGTTGATGCTTGAGACTGAGTGGGGCCTGGGTTTACACACTAGAGCCCTGTCATCCCAGGTCAGGGGGAGTTTGATTGTCTGGACTTGGTCACAGTTTTTCCTTTGGCCAGAAAGGAGTCACTAGTTACTGTTTTAATATTATATAGATTTATTATTTAGATATGTACGTGTGTGTGTGTGTGTCTGTGTGTGTCTGTGTGTGTGTGTGTGTCTGTCTGTCTGTCTGTCTGTCTGTCTCTCTGTCTGAGTGGGGTATGTACATGCACATGTAGGTACCCTTGACGGCCAGAAGAGGGAATCAGATTCCCTGGAGTTGTGAGCTGCCAGATGCTGGTGCTGGGAACAGAATTCTGGTTCTCTGCTCAAAGAGCAAAGGCTCTTAATCACACAGCCCTCTCTTTAGCCCCCAGAAAAGACGCTTTCCAAATCAAACTTGCATTGTGGAAATGATCCAGTAGGAATGTATTCTCTTCCTGGCATCTCAATATTGAGCACAATTTCTAAATTTATTTGTTCCTTCTAAAATTATCTGAGAAAGTGTGACTCTGTTGAGTTCAAACACCAATAAAAGAACAATAAACATGACTCTTACACTAGCCCCTTTTCCGGTCGCACACTCTTAGCATACTAAATAATAATGGCTATTGAGATATCAACATTGAAACATTTGGTTTTGTAAAATAGTTGTAAGATAGGTACTCAAATGATTTCTTGATTGAAAAGAAAAATGTTTCTGAGGTTGGAAAGATGCCTCAGTGGCTATGACTACCAGCTGTGTGATCCTGAGGACTGGACTTTTCATCTCCGCACACAGACACAAGGCGGGGGAGGGGGCTCAAATGCTTGTAACACCGACCCTGAAAAACACTAGGTTCTCTTGTGGCCTCTATAAGAACACAGGAGTGAGTATCTACCTAGGCGAGCACAGTCACGCACTCTCTCTCTCTCTCTCTCTCTGAGGCACACACACACACATAAGTAAACAAGTCTTTAAGAAAATGCCTTTCTTTTATCCTTCATAAAATCAGCTTTAAAATTTCAGTTTCCAGTGCCTGGAAAAATTTTTGTATAAATTCTTATTTTTCACCAACCCCGGATCCTGGCTGGTCCAGGATCTCAGTTCCGTTTCCTTTCAGTCTTGAGAAGAAGGTATATTTTTATCCCCATTTTATAAATGAAAAGGGTCTTCATAACTTATTTGAGGTCATACAACCAAGTGTCGAGAAGCCAAAGCCATGCCTGACCTTCAGCTCCAAACATCCTCCTATTACAATCCCAAAGGGAAGCTGCTCATGAATTTCTCTTCAGCCACTACCCAGGATGCCTCAGGAACAGCTTGCTGTCTAGGTGTAAGTAAAAGGCTTCTAAACAGTACAGAGGTCAGCCTATTACAGTATGAACCCTTAAGGACCGTATCAGATCCTAGAAGACGACCGGCCGAGTGCTACTGTCACGGCTGGCATTTTGGCCATGCCTCGTAGATGCTTGAGATACTGAATTGCGTGTTTCCGCGTCACAGCACGAGGTTTGCTTTGGAGGAGCCCGGGAGCCGTTCGTTTTAACAACTCAGGATTAGAGTGTGGTCATTTACGCTTCGGTGCCTAGAAGCTTTATTTTCTGTTCTGGTTTAGTCCCATTTACAGCTCGCCACCTGAGTGTTTTGGAGAACTTCGAGGATGCCTTAATGGTTTGCTTTGGCACCAGCCGGACCGACATTGCGCTGACTGTGGTAAGCACCTCGGTTAGCAGTGGGTTTAATGCAGTTATTTTCTGGTCATAAAGAGCTAAAGACTTTTGAATCCGTGATTATTTTATTAGATCCATATTTTGTTTTATTTTATTAGTTCTGATTCCATAGCAGGCTACATTACAGTTCCTACAACACATCCTTTTATTAAATTCTCATGCACACAAACTTTTGGGTGAGGCAATTAAGTGGGGTCTGTGATTTTTGCCAGATCATTTCTAAGTCTTCAACACAAATGCTCGCTCTGAGCTGTGGAGCAGTCCAAAATAACTTGTTCTTTTCTTTTCTATGTGTATGGCCACTGAACACAATTATTCCCCTTCTGGGTTGTCTCCACTGTGGCCAGGAGTCTTTAGATCCCCAATGCATATTCCACAGGCTGCGGTATTTTCTTTTTGAAAGAACCAGCATTTGTTTTGGTTGAATTTTTCAACTCATTTTTCATCACGTATTCAAATGGGTTTCTTATTTTCCAGTTCGTTGTCTTCATTCACAACATTGGGGGAAAAAAACTCCCTCCCCAATTTAACCTCTGTCTTCCTCTGCCATTTTGAACCATTCCCTGTGAAGTAGATGGGATTGCAGTGAGGGAAACAGCAACACACCCAGGTCCCTGCAAACCTTCAATCATTAGCCAGCCAGTCATCTCGCCTTGGAAAATTGCTTGGAAACCCTGAGATGTAGGCTGGAGGTAGAGAAGGGTGCTTTCCAATGACTGTTTTTCACCAAGCTGACCGTGAATGCCATGAAGCCACTGTAATGGTCTTGCTAATTTCATTTCCTGCACATAAACAAACTGGGCTCCCCTTTGAAGTGCCCAAGAGAGGTATGAGGAGTTTCAGCTTGCAATAACTCGACCCCTCGCAGAAGGCTAATTCATCTTTTTTTTTTTTTCAAATAAATCAGTAAAACAGAAGTTAATTAAAGTATAAACAATGGGCCGTATTGTGGCTGAGCGAGTCAGCAAAGGAAGCCTTACAATTCTTTGTGTAATGGATATTACCTGATTACACTTGGAGCAGGGTGGAGTTTAGGAAAGATCGGGTTACTTAGCTCTTTCCCCTCTTGCCCTGAACTTTAAAAAAAAAAAAGAAGAAGAAGAAAAAAAAAAAAGAAAAAAAAGGAAAGGAAAAAAAGAAAAAGCAGGAAATCGACAACGGCAACAGTTGCTTTATTTTTGACAAAGTAGGAAGTGGGTGGCAGCTTCCCAGCTTGAGATACTGAGGCCCTTGGGGCTTCCTTCCCCCTCCTGAGGGTCCTGATGTTGTTGGCTGAGTTACAGTTGGCTCCTTGGGAGGCCCTGTGGGGGTGGTGGAAGAGCTCCCTGAAGCAGTGCACAGAAGATATTTTGCCTTGTGAGTAACACCAACCCAGCCTGTGCAAAAGGCAGAGCTCACTCAACACTGAAATCCCTTCTAGTCCCCAAACAGGGCTGGGCAGGGCCCTGAGGGTTAGTTAACACAGGCTTGCAAAACCTTCCCTTATTTCCAAACACAGGGTGGGAGTCAGGGGGCTTGGTTATGAGAGGCGCAGACGTGGCTCACACTACCCAAACACCAGGCTAAAGGAAGATTCTCTTGACTTTGATGTTAAGAGGGTGTAAAGAAAGATGGGGCGGAAGATGAAGGCGTATGTACAGGGGCTCACTGCCCCGTGGGAGGAGGCCTTTGTCTAGGCTGATCCATGAGGGCCTCTTGGGGTTTCTTTGCAGGTCGGGAAGAGACCTGATGAAGAGATGAAATTCTTCAGCAGTAAAATCCCTGAGAGAAACTACAGTGTATGTCGTTACCCACCGTAGTGCATTCAAGGGTGACCTCCCACAGCACAGAGCCTGCCTGGGTGTGTCTGGAAGCCCACAAGTGTACACCTCAATATGTGCACATGTGTGGATATGTGTTTGGAGTGCAGGCGTTTGTTGAGGGGTTTATAACGCAGACTGATGCCTATATGCCTGGGTGTGGTGTGTGTGCATGTGTCTGTGTGAGTGTGTGTGTGTTTGAATATGTGTATGCCTGTGCTTATGTGTGTCTGAGCACATGATGGTACAGATGGAATTGAGATCTGAGGGGACTGCAGTACAGAACCACGTAGAACCCAGGAGCAGGTGGCCCCTATGAGAGGTGCATCAAGAGGCCCCAAGATGACCCTTCCAGGAAGTCCAAAAATTCTTAATTTCAGTTTGTCCTGCAAGAATTTCTATCGCTGAGATGAATTTAATTTTACAAACAGGAGGACTCTCTTAAAAGGTCAACTTTCCTCTTAATTGGCTGTTGGGGGATGGTATCTTAGAATCAATTATTCTAATGGAAAACTTTCTTTACAGTATTGAGCTGTAACTGTCAAGCGGGGTGGGGGGGGCAGGAAGCATAAACAGTGTGATGGGCACATGAGCAGTGGACAAGGCCCTGGGGCTCTGTTGCTCACTAGAGCTAACAGCGGTGGTAAGTGGGTTCAGAGTGAAGCCAAGGAATTCCAAGGAAATAGATCACTCAATTGCGGTCTTTCTCAGGAAAGTATGCACCCGGAAGTTGGACAACAGAGCTGAAGTTGACTTAGCTGACTGATGGCTAAGGGAAGCCAGCGTCCTCCACTGAGGAAGGGAAGGGTATGCCACTGGGCCTCGGCCACACTACACAGCAGTTCATGGCTATGGTTCTGGGACGGTTTGGTTCAGAGCTGTCAAATCAACCCGGCTGTCGCCAGCCCTCAAAACAAGTGTTGCCCCAGCTTCAATAAATCATCCGCACAAAGCCGTGGGCCTTGAGGACAACTGGCTGCGTCCTAGCTGGAATCTCCTATGTGACCGCGTTTGCTAGAGTAACATTCACAGATGTTTGGATTCAAAGTGCTGCTGTTTTTTTTTTTTTTTTTTTTTTTTTTAAGAAAATAGTCCAAACTGTATAAGTGTATTTATGGCTCTAAAAATGTATGCGTCCGTAGGTGGACTGTTTTGAAGACTTGCCCTCGGCTCTTAAAGTTTCTGAGAAAGGCTGAGCCTTGCTCACCAGAGGCCCACTAGCCCGCAAGTCCTGGTTTATCTAATGTATTCACCCCAGTCAGTGCCAGCTGAGTATTGCTGGCTGAGTAGATACAGGTGAGGAGAGAGAATCTGAGAACTAGTAGGTACTAAAGCCCAAATGTAAGGGAGGTTCGGGGCCTCTGGCTGATGTTTTTCTTACAACCTAATGTTACTGATAAAGAGTTAATGCCTCAAATATGCTTGCGTTTTTATCTAGCTGATGGGCATAGTCTAGAAAAGTGTGAGCCTTTCTAGATTATATATATAATCTATCTAGATGATATAGCATATGTCATCTTATGTGTGTGTGTGTGTGTGTGTGTGTGTGTACAATTTTCTTTCTCTCTATCTCCAAACTGAGAAGGAAGGCTAATTTAGAACCATGTAGAATTAAACACATAACCTAGAAGTGGTTCTTTGACTATTGCCCAATGATATGAGTGGTTCCTTTCCCATTGAAGCATAGATGACAAGCTTTCAGTATCTCACTTATTTCTTGTGAGTTACAAATAATGTCTTTATCCTGGCAGTCCCTTAGGGGCTATTTCAGCCCCCTGTGTAGGGTTAGGACCAGCTTACACTTGCTTTTGGCTTTTTACAGGTCTGTAAGCTTAGAGATGAGGCGACCTGTGGCTCTGGAACAGCTGCTCACAGGTGGCAATGCAGCTCCAGAGGCGAAAGGCATGCTGTGTGTTGTTAGCAAGACTTGGTCACGAGATGGCACAATTTGGAGTCAGCCGGCCTACCTGCTCTCTCATCCTAGCTCTGTCATTTCCTTGTTCCGTGATCTTGCTGCATTCCTTAATGTCTTTTGAGCCTTCATTTCCTTATCTACAAACTGGGATAACAAGAAGGAGGAGTCAGTCCTGGAGTTTACTTCAAGAGTTGAGGGAGTTAATAGATGAACTTCTTAGATCAAGGCTCTACCCGCAAAGAACAGGACACATTAGCGGAGGGAGTCTACATTTGAGAACAAGACAACTGACAAGTAGAAGAGAGAAGGATGTCCCCTGCAGGGGGCACCAATTGAAAAGGCTTCTCCTGCAGTATGATTCCTTCTCCTCATAGTTCATGTTTTATGGTTCTACAAAAGGTACACATTTAAGAGCTAAAATATTATCGTTATGTACAAAACATACATACAATGTTTAAACACAAATTTTCTATCCAAACAAATGCCCAGTACAATGACTCATTTTAACCTGCCTCCTAACTACTCATTTCTAACTGCATCCTCAGCATCTTTGATACCAGAACAGCCTCTCCAGCACGAGGACGGCATCTCCCACTCTGGGACGGCATTTCCTGCCCTAGGACGGCATCTCCCTCTCTAGGACGGCATCTCCTACACTAGGGAGGCATCTCTTGTGCTATGACAGCATCTCCTGCTCTAGGACAGCATATACTACATCCAGTTTAATTCATTTTAGCTTCCTGTCAGTGTAAGTAAGGCTGCTCAGTTATCGGAACACCCTTGTTTATGTTCACTGTTAGTGAGCATATAGGAATCCACTGATACTGGTTGCTTACCCATACTCTATAGCATAGCCTGAAATTAGGAAACTTGTTTTTACCCTTGAGACCCTAAAAATCGGAAGCATCTCATTCTGCACCCTGCTTCCTCACTAAAGAAATTCAATATTAGCAGAGGGACAGGTGACCTGTTTAAGGTATTAAAGCTGTAATGTGATTGGAACCTCTTCTGTCTGTCTGTCTGTCTGTCTGTCTGTCTGTCTGTATCTATCTATCTATCTATCTATCTATCTATCTATCTATCTATCTCGTCCCTCTGAAACTGTTGGATTATTAATCTCCTGTAGAAGTTAGAGTCAAACACCTTTCACATCCTTCCAAACAGAATGAATACTGGTACTTGTGAGGGTGGCTCCCCTGAGTTCCCAGGACTGCCCATAACCTTTGAGCCACCTCCTCTGTTCTACCTCCCAGACTCCAAACACGAGTGAAAACAAAAGAAGGAGAATCAGTCTTGGGTTTGGAGTTTAAATAAACAAGGAGGTTAATGGGAAGGCTGTTTCAGTGGATCAGAGGCCCAACAGTTCCCAAGGTTGGAGACAATTTATCTCTCTATATAATATATAATAGTTTTATATATACATATATATGTATATATACACACAATATATGTGTATATGTATATGTGGTGTGTGTGTGTGTGTGTGTGTGTGTGTGTGTGATTCCCACAATCCAATGACTTGGAGAAGTTCTGAGACCCAGGAGAGTTTTGTTGAAGTGGACAAGCCATTACATTATTAGTTCAAGAATGGAAAAGGTCTTTCCTTTCCCTTCTTTCCCTTCCTTCCCTTCTCTTCTATCTCTTAAAACACTGAAGTTGTTGAAGGAGATACTCATGATTCCAGTCCTTAACTGTGTAAAGTGGGAAAGGACTGGGGCCAGTGGAATGTTGGAAAGAATGTAAAGAAAGAAAGAAAGAAACAAAACACCTGACTCTACAAATGTGAAGACAGGTTGGCTCTGAACAGGGTACCTACAAATTTCCATGGTTTTAACACATCACATGTCTGATATTAAATTATCAATATAAAGCTACTTGTCTAGAGCTTGCCAAGTTCGGGGAAAAGATAGAAGAGCTTAGGGGGTGTGCATAGGTACAAGCCCACTCAGGACTCTTGTGAGTGACAAGCAGTGCTCATGTGTTGTTGTAGAGAGGGAGCAATTGGGTATAGAACTGTGGACACAGGTGACCTGAAGTTTGCCTGTTATCTGTCAATGTCTCTACTGATCATCCATCTCCTGGCCTCCTTCCATCCTTCTATTATCTAGCCTTCCACTCTCTATCCATCCACCCCTCTACTTCTCCATCACTTTCTATGACCTGCTTGATTACCTGACGGTTCTTAGCTGTACACTCAAATAATCAGCCAATCAGCAAGGCTCTCAGATCATTTTTGTTATTGTCTTTATTATTTATTCTAATAGTTTTGTTATTATTCTATTATTTCACGAGACCGCTGAACTCAGGGCTTAGTGGACGGTTCAGCTCCTTTTCCAGTGTTGCCTGTGTCTGTCTGCCTTTATCTTCGCAGCTCTCAGAACCCCTCAACATTTTAAGAATCCTTGATATTAGGGGCTTGGGCTCTGACAGAGGATAAGGCGTCAAGAAATGAACGGATCTTTCAGAATTCTTACAGCTTAACTAAACAGTTGGCCTTGCAATCATGTTTCCTGCCTCTGAATACCCTTTGGCTCATTTCTCAGAATCCAGGGCCTCAGAAGAGGTGCACACATATGCCTCTGGCTTGGAAGTCACCATTTGCAGAGGTTGACTGGACAGAATGGAACCTCTTGCCTGCTCAGCTCCACCTGTGCTCAGCATCGACCACACAGCCCTCTCTCTTCTGACCTTCCTCTACGGGGCAGGTAGGCAATGCTGGGCTTTTTTAGAGGAACGTGTGCTGCTTCATAGATCTGAGCATGAGGGGAGATAGGGTGCTGACAGCACTTTCTGCTTTAAGGGATCCTTGTCTTGCTACCATGTACCATGGGAGGCCTTTCTGCCCGCCTGTATTCCTTCCTTCCTTCCTTCCTTCCTTCCTTCCTTCCTTCCTTCCTTCCTTCCTTCCTTCCTCCCTTCCTCCCTTCCTTCCTCCCTTCCTCCCTCCCTCCCTCCCTCCCTCCCTC